TTTTTTTCTGTGTTGTAAATGATGTATTGAATTCCTAAGGGAATTTCCTGTGATTCGTGCATTGTATACAACGCATTTCTCCCTAATTTTCTGTGAATAAAAGCTAGTCTCGGAAACCCGACACCCATTATGCCTAAACGCGACTCCCGCTTTCAGGTGCTCACTAGACACTGTGCATGAACGCGACACAATGTCAGAAGCTTCATATGCCCTTAGTTGTAAGGATCCGTTTGAACGCATTGGTCAAAGTTAACCACACTTTGTATGATGGCTTTTCATACTCCAAAAGGGCGTCACACGTTAGCCCACGCCTTACAAAACGTCGGTCGTATGAAAAGTAAGTTACTCCATGGATGTGAACAAGATGGCGAGATGTGACTGAAAGGTGGTCCTTGAACTAGTTCGGCAAAACCGGACTACGCGGGCTGCGATTTGCCTATCTTTGTCATGAAAAGCGACACCAAACCTCCCTGCTGTGTCCGAGCCTCCAACTTTTGCTCGATTTCGAAAGAAACCTGCCACGTCGGCACGACAGCTACCCGCAGTGTGAAATGGCGTTGACGGAAAATGTGTTGCAATTAAATTCTCAACTAAAATCTCCGAATTTTAGTCAACATCTTACTGAATAATGATGGTGGAAAAAAGTGATGAATAAGACCCACTTTACACACCTCGACATATGTAATGAGACTCACGAACCCTTGTAATTCAGGCATATAGACACAGAACCACCGTATTTCTTGGGTGTTGGTCTGTTCACCGAGCTTGGCAGTTGGGTCGCGATCGAGCTGATATCGTCAATGCGAGGTGGACTGACAGTGTCACCTCGGTTGCTGACGAAATATTTGCACTTCCACCGCAAAGCCCTGTGAACAGACCAACAACCAAGCAGCTCACCCAAGACACCTATATTCCACAACAATGTCAGCAACTCAGTAAGGCGCAAAACTCTCCCTCTGAATTTTGCGGTTTTGGAAAGAAGTGTATACTAAGGGCAAGCAAACTCCAGGTCAAATATCCGTTGAGATTTGTTGCATACGCACTTCAGATGAATCCAAATGGGGATGAAACCGCTTGACAGTGCTATTTGGCTTTTTGGCATCAACAGGCTTCATTTACAGGATAATCCCTTTTGAAAAATGCACGGACCTTTTCATGCTACCCACAGGTCAAAAGCAGAATGCATGTAGTACGACTTAAAATGTATTGAAACCTTCCAGTTAGGACTTCCTTACGGGTTCGTTCAGTTTGCTACAAGGCAAAATGACGAATACAGAAGGGAATGAAGGATGAACAAAAGTCAAAATATCTAATAAGCCTGCATTATGTTTTCCATTCAGAGCAACAAATGAGGGAGAACGGAGCGGGAAACGGGCCATATTTTTCGAAAAAAGGGTAAAATCGCAGTAATAAAGCTTACCCTGGACATGTGTCTGACGCCTCGTACGGTGGCAGAACCACGATCTCCCCGCTGCATTTAAAAAGACCCAAAATTGTTGATGGACTGTACACTTTGATTTCCTAATCGAATGTACTGTGGAACAAAAGTCAGGCTAAATTCGGCGAGAAATTGATAACATTTGTTGGTTTAATTTATTCATCTAATCAACACTCAAAATAAGTGAGACTTACGTAAGAGTTCTCAACCTCATGTTCCCTCTGAAACAAAAATGGAAAGTGACAATTAAGATAATCTGGAATGCATAAAAAATAGATAGTTTCATGGAAGTTTATTATCTGCTGATACTGAATAGACGAGTACTAGGCTATATTTATTGCAAGTTTTTTTCGCATTTCCACTACTGAGTTTACTTGAAGATCGTGGGGTGATTACTAAGATAGAACCGAAAATGCTTGAAGTGGGGTCGGTTGTGTAGGGACCATCGTACTCAACCAAGATGCTACCTCCTCAATATCGGTTTGGATATGAATCTGGTCAGCGAAATTCACGAGGGAATGAACATAACAAATAAACACTCCGAGTTCACCAAGATCAGTGGTGTGGATACAAACGTCCACTTAATATTCCGGTCTCAATGGCGGGAGATTTCATTAACGAATTCCAAGGTGTTAAATATAGGTGCAAATTCTGTCTACCAGGAAGAAGACCAAACTGAATGCGTTGACAAAATGGAACTGGAACTGATAAAATTCTCCGATACATCTTCATGGGCAGTTTACCGACAAGCGTCGCCATAATTTCGAATTCAAAGCGTTTGATTATTCAGGCATAGATCAACCGAGGAAGATAAGGGGACAGAAGCAAAACGATGCCAGCAAGATGTGGAAATCAAGACTAGATTCAGTGCCCGCGGCATCATACTGGGTCAAACTAAGTATAGTTGGTTAATTTCCGCGGCCTGCTGGAATGCGGGAAGCTATAAAATCACAACTGAGGATTCCGAAATGTCCACGAGGAAGATGGATTTTACCGTGCCTTTCCTAAATTGCGTTGCATCACATAAGGTAGAAAAATAGAAAAAAACGGAGAACACAAAACATTATTCGCATTCAAAAAATCTGTTTACAGAACATGGGCTAAAAACAGATAATCGCATTTCCGCGCAAATGAGCATACGTAGTCAAGTCGTGATCACCTTCCTAGTATGACTTCAAGACCTGGTGAAGGACAATTTTGGAGGACGAAAATTTAGCACCGAGTTTCACTTGAGCAGCTAAAAACCTACTCGATGCATGTCAGGTTAAATCATGGAACAACAGTGCGATGATTCGGAACATTCAAAATTGCAAAAATGCATATAAAATCACCAGCTTTCTTCTTGTTAGCTTCAAGTCACAAAGCTTAGCTAGACTGCTTCAGCGTTGCCAATCGAAATTCACTGCTGGAATTTCAGAGCAGTTGCAGTCATGCAACATCCACAGACGTTTCACACAAACCTTTCTTAGGTCTTTGCAACGGGATGCCATAAAAGGTGGCATGGGATAGCAGTTCCTACGCATCTGAGTGAGTAAGATTTTGAGAGCGGACTAGATTAGAGACAGGTCTCCCAAAATAATCAATGACGGCTTGAAGGTATCCAGTTGAACAACAGACAAAGTCGTTAACCTGACTGAAAAAAACACATCTCTACAAGGACATTTCCACTAGCAGAAAGCAATTCGAAGGGCTCATTGGTGCACTGTTTAGAGTAATTTTGCGGTCTTTTTCGGTCTCATCAATTTGGTTTGATAAAGCTGTACTCAACACCAAGTAGTCTTGGCTACAAAAATAATTTTCCGGATGACTACTTTTTTGAGATTTACACAGACAAAAGAAATAAAGTCGTTAAAACTTTGAACTGCCCAACCAACTTCCACAAAACATCACTTACGCTGGGCCATAGTTACAGACAAATATATGGCGCCATCGTTGAGAAGGGCATTCGGCATAGCCACAGCCTATGTGGGTGGTTTCGTTCCATACAGCCTGAAACAAAAACGTGTGTATAATGGAAGGTTTAAAAAGCTGTAAAAAATGTCCCACCCTATAATATTGTAAAACCCCTTTTGAAATACACCATAATAAATATCTTTTTCAATTTCATGCAGTATACTCAGGCCAGTGATCAAAGCAAGATTCACTCACCTGAGTGTAATGTCCACACATACCGACACATTCTCTAGTCGCGTAATTGTATTCTTTGTATTCCGCAAACCATGCTTCGTAAGCTCTAAAAGTGGTAGGAAGCTGTCACATTTCGAGAAAACTGAAAACTGATACATTTGATGTTATAAGGGACGTAAATAACACTGAGTAACTCGGTTGTACCAAATGGGCGATTGTCGGTAATATTGTATGAAATTTCTCAAATCCCACACGAATCTGGGTTGGATGAACTACTTGCTGACCACATTGTCTTCTGAGAACGGAGAACGCAACGGAAATTCCTTTCGGGAGGTCACGTAAGGCAAATACTTATTCGTCACAATAATTTCGCAACAATCTAGTTTCGACGTGGAAGTCAGCCTGCAGGTATTAGAGTAAAGAAAAGCACCGTTCATTTGGACAAGAGTGGAATCGCACGAGTTTTAATTGCATAGCCAATAGAGTGAAAAGTGAGCCAGCTATCAGGCATCAACAATGGCCAGATACTCATCGTCCATGCATTTTATCAGGCAAGAGACAGGAGCAGTTGAACGAATGTTGCTTTTGAGTCGCCTGCTGACAATACGCATCTATTGAGAGCAGCTGTTCCGTAAGTAGTGAAACAGATAATAGTTCGGGCAGGACACTTCGCAGCTGTTTTGGACGAGTCACGGTAGGATAGAAAGATGGATGACTTCCACCATATTCACCCAAGGAACGTGTGGCAAAGTCTGTTTTGGAAAATCTCTGCAAGTGAAAACCTGCTCCCGGTGCGTTTTGGAGGCTGTTGACCTGGGGAGTAGAATTACGTGGGCAAGTGCACAACGGCTGTTTCGGAACTGGCTTTAGATTCAGTCAGCATTACACGGACAACGAGTGTGCTGAACAAAATATCGGTTTTGCCTGCTAATCAATTACGAAAGCGGTTGTGAGTTTTCGGGACCGTTGCTGACAAAGAGTAATACAGCAGTTCGGATAAAAGCGATGCAACTGAAGCTTCATGGAGTTGCGATGGATTTGAACCAACTCGTTAGTACAACATCCGCCCGTGAGTCCAGTTGTTACTCAAAATATTATGGCATAATTTTCTACAAATAAGTGTGGCTTCAAATGAAATTGTTACCGATGCACAGTGTCAAGCCATGCAAGCTGTCAGTGTATGGTTAACCGAGTGAGAAAGCATCCGGTAATGAGTATAGTGAAAGAAAATGATGTCTCCTCCCAAACCTGTGACACCCAATTGAGGATTCGAGTCGTCAGGTTGTTTGATTACTTGAGGACATGTCCTGGCTCAACAACCTGAATGTATAGACAGATGAGGTGAGATGAGATGAGATGATGACGATGATGATGAAACTGACCACAGTCCACAATGCCATTCGAGTTGGAGTACATACACAAATTGAAATCAACCCCACCTAGGCAGTCTAGCTCTTTGGATAGTCACGCACAACCACACAAAGTGCAAGTAGCATACAGCTGAGCATAAACTATGGCCACAAGGGTCAGATTGCACGTTTCAGTTTAGCTTGACCACCGGATATTCGTTCTTTAGCATTGTGGCTAGATCTTGTTCGCAGAAATCAGGAAACACATTTCGCAACGATGCCTATACTGCCCATTTTAGTAGCAAAGTGAACCGTAGATAAAGTGAACTAATATAGAAATACCACCCCATTCTCAATTAACATGTACGGTGTTTCATGCGCATGCTACAAGTCTACCAACTATTAGCACCCAAATCAAACCAACATGCGGGTAGATTTTTAGTGAGACTTCCTTAAAATTGAGAAAGACTGCTAGCCAGAGCGATACCAACGAAACCAAGCATTTACACTAATTGGGTAGTTTAACCGAGTTTAATCATCCCTACTCACCATCTCCTCTGTGCCCAGGACGGGAACACATTTTAAGCAATATAGAACGGCATTCGCCACTGCTGAAGCAGAACATTTAGCCAGCCGCCAACCGATGCAAAGGCATCCAATTGTTCAAGGACAGAGATTGCAGGTTTGGTAAAACACCGAATAGCATTCTGAATAATATTGCCGTGATTGAATACGGGTACACCAAAACAAGGTACAGTATCCGTAACAAAACAGTGGACAACTCTCAATCAATGAAACATGGCAAAGCTCTTTATCTGGACTAGCCAGGAAATCAGTCTCATTCGTTATCAAGAACCAACACGGAAAACCGAATAGAACCGCAAAATAGATCTTCTTGCTTTCAGTAAAGCTGACGTGGCAGCATCATTATTTAACGGGAAAGGAAAATGCCCTTAATTGCTCATCACAATCTTAGCTAAGCGGTTTGAATGAAGTCTATTTATTAGTAATATCAAGACACACTGTTTGGACAGTAATCTCTACTTACGCCTGCAAATCATATCCCATGGCCAGATTTTGACCGACCACACGGAACTTGCTCGTTCTGCGATTCTCGTTGCTGTTGTGCTCTGCTTTGCATTTGTTTGCCCACTCTTGCGCCTTCCTCGCCAACTCTTCATCCCATTCCTGATTTGGGGAGTAATTTTCATATCTGTAACACGAAATGATTAGACCTACAACTGGGGGCATATATCTGGCACACGGATGGCCAGGAACCTCGCCTTTTTGCACTCTCAGTCTTCCATCATTGTGCAGATCAACAAACTGCGTTAGTTTTGGTGTTTTAGAGAAAACAATGCAGTAAGACACAGCGGTCACGTAGAATAAAATGAAGTTAATGTGCATCCTTGTGGCGTCCTGAGAATGGTGTTTTGGCTGTTATTTATATTCGGTATGAAAACAGTCAACGTTGACAAATAAGTCTTTGAAAAAATCAGTTTCATTAATTATGTGTCGACAATCGTTGAGCATAAGTACAGCTGAACAATGACAGGTGGTCTCGTCAGGAGGAAAACAATTTGCTCTGTTAGTATGGAAATAACGTTTTTATGAGCATAGCTCACAAACGGTGGTTACGCGTGATTTGTAGCTTATTTGCAGTACTTACGAAGGCCAGATCTATGCACTATCAACGTTGTTTAACAATCAATTTCGGTATTCAAAAAATGCCAGAAATGCTAGTCGCTTGTTCCATTGCGGGTGGCTTGTTTAAACGACCTTGAAATGAGCTGATTGGACTCCGAGAATAATGCTAAACAATTCTGTTAGACTGATTCAGTAATTTTTGTCGACGGGATAAAATGCAGTCGAGAGTGACAACTGTTTCGCTTATCCAGCCATACAGCGTGACAGCGCATGCGTACTGATTTCCTCAGATAAGCGTTCAATCTCCCGGCTGATGTAGCTTTTCAAACACTCGCAAAGGATGTAGAAAAATCTATCAAGAAATTTAAGCGAGCCCTCACTGTATCTTCGATATTTGCGCCAAGCAACCTACCACAGATGAATCGGATCTTCAACTGAACGTTATTCTATTTGAAATCGCTAGTTTCCGCCTTATCGTTTCGGATGCATTACCTTCTCTTTCGGTAGCTTGGTGTAGGCGGACGCCTTCGTGCCTGATGAATTTCAGTCTTCTGTAGTAAGATGCTGTCTTCAGTATTCGGTCCCAATCCCCTCTGTTTATAAGCCTTCCGGTGTGGTTGTCGATATGCACGTCACATCCGCACCTAGTGCGTGATCTTTGCAAATCTTGTAAAGCCTATTTGCCAGACACCTGACAAAAACTCGTGTGTACACTATATCCACGAGGCTATGGGAATGGAATGCTTGCGGACCATGTTGGTTTTTACTCCATCCAACTTGTTTACGAACTAATACAACCTCAAGAGGCCAGGTGTTGTTGACCTCTTCTCTTCTTCTGAAGAGAAGTATCTTGATCATAGTGTGAAAATCAGGAATGCAAATCTGTCAATGACGTAGCGTGGACAAAACTGTAGATGTTTTGTCATTGGTTTCGAAACGGTCGGATGAATTCTACTGGATCTCTTTATCTACAGATGGAAATACTACTTAATATTATGCCAGGAAAATAGCCCCTTTAGGTTCACTAGGGTAATGCGTAAATTAATACTTGACTGGATACAAACACTACAAATCCAGTCAAGTGAATCGAATCGCCAGTATTTTAGAAAAAAAATGAAATGTTTTTGAGCACTCTCGACCAGTCGTTGACTTTACATTTGGGACGGAATCCGTGTACTGGAGAATGCCATGAAGGCCGTAGACATAGTTTCGTTTCCGGATGCGCTATAGCGGTGCATTCAGACAGGGCGCAATCGCAGCATACTTTGAGCCATCCATGTCAAACACGGAACGTAGTAGAAAGGGCGTTCATCTTTATCAGTTTGTAAGTTTGACAAATAGGAGTCCATGTTTTTGAGGAATACGCTAATTTCAAAACAATTTGGTTTTCACGAGAGACTCAACTGAAACTCTCGTTTATGGTATTCTACACCTGAATGTGCTGCACACAGACCGCCTCGTGATTCAGTTGGCACAATATTAGAGATATCGTTGCTCTCAGAATTTCCTAATATGTAAAATTCTCATCGGTTATTCTTCGCAATATTGGTGTTGTTTGATTCTGTGTTGATGCGAAAGGACATTCATGGATTACGTGGCCACAAGTTGCCGATTCCAGGCACTGAAAAATTCACTCTTTTGATACAAGCAATAGTTGACTGGCGGTGATGTGGTGTGCGCCCTCATATCCTCAGGTATTCGTGTATTTTGCGTTACCACATCCCATTAAGGACTGAGGTCATGGCGTCATGGAAATTTTCGCATTCATCTCTTGTTCACTCTTCCAGCACAGTATTCAACTAACTGGTTATTCGCTCGAATACATGTGCCTCATTCCGAAGCCAGCTAAGGTGACGTTTGGTAGGCATTTCAAGTTGCTTTTTTGTAAGAGTTTGGGGCGCGCCTACTTGCTTATGTAATCTTGAATAAAATCTGAATTGCGGCTTGTAATTTTGATTCTTGTTGCAAAGGATCAGTTGCGATTGGGTGCTCTTAAGTCCCGTCATTCTCGCGTGTGGTTTGGCGAGTACTCTGTTTGTATGCAGGCGTTCTAACAGTGCGTGCCACTGGAGATTCTATCGCAATCTATTATATGGAATACTACGTATTGGGAAAGATTTAGTGCGTTTTATTTCAAGTTGTTTTAACTTTTATAGACCCAAAAACAATCATTTTCCATTACTAACAGGCCTCACGCGTGAGCATGATTCTTTATTTATGGTACATTCCTGGTTTCTAATTAAGAGGCATGTCTGACGCATAAAAACGCAGCCGTATGGCTAGCTGAGGTTGCCTATTTGCAAAACAGTGTTCTGAAGCAGTTGTCAAATAAAAGCAGTTCCATAGAGACACCATCGATAAAGTCAATCTCTTTGGCCACTGTGGGGCTTATTCCTGAAGTGCCTCTCGTTGGACCACGAATTTCCTATTACCTGTCAGGTCCTAACCCGTTTCGCATGACTAGAATCCGGTCGTAAATGAAACCGGTAAGCAAACGCTTGTTAGCTGTGCTGTTCAAGCCTGAATACTTTTCGATCAAGCCTGCTCGACTACTTGAGGATTCGCTCAACTTTGAGAGTGCCAGAAATCGAGCAGTTTTTCATGCATCGCGGAGGGAGACCGGAATTTCTACCTTAAATCTGTACAGTCATTTGTTTTCTGTGCGATAAATGATGCTTTTCAGGTACTTCTAAAAGCTAAGACACCCATGTGGCTAAAATCATAGGAACATTATGCAGCATTATTGGGAATACAATCCCCACGCCCCGCCGTTTGTGCCCCCACATCCAAGTGGATCAAACCCTTCAGATAACGATTTTGACAGGTTTTGAAAAAATTACAGCTTGCTGCGCTGTTGATAAAACTAGGTTATTCAGGGCGTACAAAGGCCTCCTTCAAACCGATCGATCAGAATTCCTATGTGAGTTTCAACACCTGATTTAGTTCAGTTTCAGAAATCTGGGAGGAGATAATACAGGTCTTCCGATTCGGAGCGATGCACGACCGTTCCCACCGTGTTTACTTTGTTAATGCATGTTCAAAAGTGCCCAGTGCCGCTACATATCTTAATTCTGGAGCAACCTACGTTGCCACAAGCTCCGCCTCGCAAAGTCAACTTTCCCAGTGTCCAACAGAAATACTTCCAAGATATTCTCTTCACGCGAGGTGGATGGTCCCGAATGGATCATCGTTTGGTACGAATGATGGTTTGTGTCGCCTTGAGGAAAACCACATAGCTGTCAAGAGAAACAAAAACGCGTGAGTCCAGGCGTCAGCAGAGTGAAGTATTCGGGAAGTATGGCGAAAAGGGGCTACTCAACAGGGCGTGAGGAGCAAATCTACGGGGTCAGTGGATCCCATGATTTCGTCCCTACTAGAGTAGGGGAGGAGACTTCCAGGAGAGAATCAGAAAACGGTCAAGCCTATTCGTTCACGAATGCTTTCGAATCGCGGAAAGCAATCACACGGATACATGCGAAAGCTTAATACTAAACTATGGATGAAGCACTGAATAGGTCGCTCGCTAACTTTATTAGGAGGTTCAGAGCACTGGGAAACGTTTTCGGACCGGAACCGCAAAGTCTAAATGCATGCTAATTGTGTTGAAGTATCATATCTTCAGTTTGCGAAACTGACCATCGGAAATGGGATTGAAACAAGTGAACCAAATGTCCTGTCTTACAGAAAGAAACCACTGGACGACATTCCATTGTTGGAAGAATTTCAGTCAGTTTGCGAACGCACAACTTAAAATGACGTCTCCTTGCTGAAATGTCGAACCATCGTGA